TAGTCATAGAAGTGACACTACTGCAAACAACAATGTCCCAAGGACAGTGAGTTTCAATATTTACCTGACAAAACCCAGTCTCTCTGAAATCAAAAGGAAAGTAATTTAGTTCAGAATTATTTTTTCCTCCAGAGCACTAATTTACAGGATAATTTTGCGGTGAGTTTGAAGTGCAAGTTCATGTTCAGTCAAACCCTTTTGCTTAACGAATATTGTCTAAATTTGATCTTGGATCAAAGGGAGAGTTTACTGTGTATGAAACAAGAGAAATAACATTTCCCTGTCCTAAAGACATTGTATATAAACACATTGGCTTTCACACAGGGCTAGGATCCAACTCCAGCAGACAAAAGCAAATGTCAGAATCATTTATAGTCTGAAAATTCTATATGATGACTAAGTTTTGTTTTAATTTCTTGTTATTACCTTGTATCAAACAGGATCTGGCAGCATTCTTTTGCTATCAGTTAACATATCCTCCCTAGGGTCAGTGGGGTCATTCGAGTGGTTTTCTGCTCCTTTCTTGGAGAGATCTAAGAAGATACTACTATTGAGCGATTACTCACCTGCTGTATCTATTTTTCCATGTTCTTGTTGTGTCTTGTCAGAACTCTTGCTTAATGTGCCACAGAATTTTTGTTGGTTGATTAGGAGTTAAGAGGCTGCACCATTGCACCACTGCAATGACAAGCATTTTTTCTGTAGGGCTGAAGCAAGAGCCAGTTACCAGTTTCTAACAGAGGCTGGAGCAGACATGAATTACCACCTCAAAGGCAAAGATAAGACAGAGATAATAATTACATGATATACAAGCTTTTCCTTCATCTCCCACATCTACTCTTTCTCTATAATAGTATTTGAAAGCTGAAACGTCAATACTAACTGCAATGCTCACTGGACAAATAGTGACATATGAAAGCTTTGCAAGTAAAATACTGTAAGAGAAGGATTTCTTTAAGTTTTGTTTAAAGATTTGTCTGTTAAATAAATGATTACCTTTGCAATACACTTACCACAGGTTACAGGATTAATGAAGATGCAGGCGTCATTAACTTTCATTGAAGGCCACACAGCTCTTCCTTGGATTGCACACCTTCTTTTGATCTGCAAACAATCCGAAAGAGATTTTCTGCCATGGCTCAGTGTACTGTCTTTAGAAGGAGGCAGTCTTGTAGATTTCAAACTGGTTTTGAGTTATGGTTATGGCGATCTTTGGACCACCCTAGCTTTAACATTTCTAAACACTTCATTTTGCTTTATAGTTATAATGTTTAGAATTTGTTACTGGTGCTAGTAGCTAATAGCAGATCTACTTATTTATATCATTCTCCTGCATTTACATTTACTCTCTCAGTTAAACGAGTTCACACAGTATGTCAGAAGCATTTTATGTTAGAGTGTTTAGACTTACAGGCTCACTGGCTTCATTAGAACTGCTGTGCATCTGTGCAACAGTGGTTGCAGCAAATCAAACCGTGACTCACAGACTTTACAAAGCAATTCACAATTAATTTGGAGTTCTTTTACTAGTTTTTTTTACTGTACATACAGAATGCAAGTGTACACAGCATCTTTATTTTTGTCTTTTCTATTAAGAAAACCTCTAGTATTTTTTAGCTGAGAGCAATTATATAAACTTTATCCCAGCAGTCAAATATACCAGATTTGCATCTCAATTTTCAAACACCTGAGGACTTCTAGGCATGAATTTTTACTTACCTGTCAGCATTCACTTAAACAGATATTTTGCTACTGAAAAAAATTCAGGTTCAACAGAGATCTGTTCTATTTGCCTTGTTAACAGAAAATACACAGTAAGCCCACCATGTTTATCTTCAGAGACCCAGCAAGGTATTGCATGTGGACTCTGCAGCCCTTGGCATCTGTGTTTATACTCATCTAAGACAGAATCCTAATATTTGAACATCTTAGTTGCTATCCTTGTACCTACTGTTTAAAATCCTTCAGGAACAAGTCTCTCAAAACACCCCTAGAGGCAAGACCACATGTCTGTTTAATTGAAAAGTCGCTGAGGCAAAGAGCTTGTCTGCCTTGCCTGAGGCCACACATTTCTGCCTTGAAATTGTGTGTACCTTTCCACTACTCACTTTTCATCAATATTTATTTGTTTGTTTCTTTGTTTGTTTGTTGTAAGTTGGTGTAAGGTTTATATATCTTATACAACGATTTGAGAAAAAAATGAAGCAAGGATATATCTGTTAAGAACATTCATTTTTTTTCTTCTAGGAAAGAAGTGAGTCTCCTGCTTACACCAATATATGCATTTTCCCGTTCCCTTCCATCTTGTTGGGTCTCTTTCCAGTGCAGTCATCTTTCTTTGTGTTCAGCAGCCTTTCCCTGCATGTGCATGCCAGCATCTCTTGCTGTCAGCTGAAGCCTCCCCATCCAACAGCAGCTCCAGCTTCTGTAGCCCTGCTCCACAGCCTTCCCTCGACAGGCACGGAAAGTAGCCTGAGGCATCCACACAGCCCACTTAGCTCAAGAATTAGATTTCAGACAGAAATACTTTGTCCTTGGGCACAAATATGAAAATCAGCTTGCCTGGGTATTTCTGAGGCTACTGAAGCCCCTGCTCTGAGTCACGTGTTTGTAGGGAGCCAAGACCTACGTAATGGCTGGGGATGCATGGGTTTTTGAAGTGCAACAGAGTGTACAGGTAAGTTCTCATCAGAAGGGAGTTGCCCTTATTTTCACACTGAGCTTGTCTGAGTAGACGTGCTGCACCTTTTCTCTTACCTAAGAACAAAATAAGGCCCATGGTTTCCAGCTGCTCCCTTCTTTCTCACCTTCCAGAAAAAAATGAAACTAGAATTTAAGGAATTTAAAGCTGGAGAAACTGTCTTAAGATTGTTGCACTATTGTGGTAGTACCACCTCAGGATACCTGAAGTCTTAACTAATTAGGTTCAGCATCTATAGCATTAGCTGGATCCTGAGAATATCAACAACCTCCTACTGTACTTTGAATAACAGCTCCAGAGAGGGGCAGAATTTGAGGGTTTGCATCAATGTTTGGTTTACTCACTAAATATGGTTTCAGTATTCATACTTGAGCTTGCATTTGGATTTCTGTAGCCTTTTTGAAAATGTATAGATTAAATTAAAAAGACTATTGAATTTTCCATATCAAGATTCTTAAAAGCAAAAAGGACATTTGGGTTACTTCAGAAACTGAATTGTTTAAATTTTTAAGATTTACATTTAAGAGAGCTCACAGAATTACATCCAAAGACAAATGCAAATTTTCAGGGAGGCCTCAACAGATCGTGCTCTTTACAACAGCTTCAAGTGATCAAATGCAGCACACTGATACGCCTTAGTACGACAGAAAGGTGCCAATAAAATCTCCATCAGGTAGATGATAAACTTGTCTGTGGTGAGATCAGTTCTTGGAGGCAGAGACAGTATTGTTTTCACAGACAATGTCTCTAGCACACATACTGAGTGACTGCCAGATACCTGGCCCCACAGCCCTACATCAGTATACAATTCAGTGTAACCTGCAATGTGTGTGCATGAAATGGAACAAAGAGCTATGTGATTTAGCTCTTGCTCAGCTCTTGCTCCTGTGGTTTAGCTGCTGATGGCACAGTTTCCAACTGATTTAAGGCTAGCCCAGGTATGTGTACGTGACCTGCTGTTGGAGAACTAACAGGTAGGCATGACCTCCCCACTTCTGATTATACAGCTTCCAGGAGTCCTTGGGTACCCTCACTGATTTACTTTTGTCTTTTCCTCCAAAGTTGCTTCCTTTTTTTTTTTTTCCCCATCGTAGTAGATCATATTTTTCAATCTCCTTGAACAGATCTGCAGATCTTTCTTCTCCCATCTATTTATCCTGTCATTACAATTCTTAGCATTTCACAATGGTATTGTGCTAGGTTCATTTCAGTTTGCTGGCACACAGAAATTTCTTATTAAATCTTTCTGTCCAGATATCATTCTCTTTTGTAGGCTACCAAATGTGTTTGAGTACATTATCTCTAGATGAGTATATTAGTTTTTGTGTTTCATTTTTGCAAAGACCTGAGATATATTAACACCTTCATTAACAAAAACAAAACAAAACAAAAAAACAAATTAAAAAAACCCTACAATTGTTAATAACTGAAGTGCGCCTCAAAAAATGCTAAAAGATTCTATGCATGAGATCTGAGCTACAGAGCATTTTAATTTATGTATTTCAGGCCTGGACCTATAGACTTTTAAAATAAAAACTTAATTTTTGCCACAGGTATAATTTTAATGATGTGAATTTTAATGATGCTTAATTAGAAATGATTTTTAAAAAAGAGATGGAATTTTCTGGTATTTGTTAGTTGCAATGTAAGAAGTAGCTGCTTGACCCTACTAAATCTGATGCTGTTTATCATGCTCTCATTAAGATGTGTGTAGAAGCACATCTGTAGAAGGAAAAAACAAACAAAAATAACAAAAACAAACAAAAAACAACAACAAAAAAAAAAAAACAAACAAAAGAAAACCACAACCAAAAACAACAACATAAAACCAAACCCTTTTTAAAATAAAAAAAAAAGACTGCTGATCCACTTAGTAGCATGCTGTTTAATGACTCTAAGTGATAATGCACTTAAACTGTTAATTCAAGGGTTAATCCTCCTCTAACACCGAGCTGGAAAAAAAACTTGAAATGACTTTTCAGAAGGGAGGGGCAGGAAGAATTCTGACCGTTCTCCTGATGCTTTACAACATGAAACCGCGAAGCAATTGAGGAATCAGCGCACGGCACGTGGATTAAATCGCTTCCTAGAAGCAGCTCGTACTGTACATCGCCTCAACCCTCGCTGAACTTTCTCAGTAAATACGGCAGCCTGACAGCCCGGCTTCCCCGCTGGGTGGATCCTGCAACTCTAGGAGGGAATGGCACTTCTTGTTTTTAATTAGCAAAGGTGAAAGGTGAATTAAAACTGGCTGTTTAGCAAGTCAGAGCAAGGGGCTGAGTTCCGAAGAGCACCAAGGAGGAGGGTGCTTTCTTTTTATTTTTTTTATTTTTCTTTTTTTTCCCTCCTTTTAATGAATTGCCTTGCAGGAGGGACTGCAAATACAGCTTCTTCCTGAATCCACGGGCAGAGTTACTAGAGAGCTCAAGACACAACACTGCAGAGTAACGCCTTGGAATGTCCTCGCACTTTATAAACAATTGTACTGGGGAGGGAATATTTTTACATGACATTTGCACAGCTTGACAAATGGCAAGCTGAGGCTGTGTGCTCTTCTGACGAACATTGATTTTTCACATAGAGATACCCCACAAACTGACCAAAGAGAGATATCTGACCGTACTGGAAAAGTAGAAGTGGAACTTGGAGCCTTAAAAAAACAAACAAAGAGCTGCAGTTAAGTGAAGAGAGCAAGATTTCGATGTTGGGCATGATGGCATCTGCCCAGGACCTTTTAATTCTGGCACTATGTGGCTTGTTACTAGAGTTACCGGCTGGATGTCACGCAACAGATACGAGACAGCCAAGGTTACGTCTGTCACATAAAGGTAGGTCAGTGTGTCAGGTTTTTAAAGCCTTTATGCTAATGCAAGTTCATTGACTTCACTGAAAGTATTGCAGTGGGGTTAAACTGCGGTCCTTTGACAGAATAAAATATTCCTCTTCAGAAATGCTGTAAATTATGTCCTTGTACTAAACTGTATCTGTAATTGACTTTACTGAAATTGGAATGATTTCAGGAACTTGTAGTGATTGATTTTAGGCTGTTTCAATATTCTTATACCTGAAAGAGCGTTAGGTTTTCTTGTCATTCTGTTGATGTCCTCTGTGCTGTAAGAAGGATGTCTGATCTGTAATAATAAGGAAAGTCATGAGAAGATAGCCTGAAATTACTACTGAATAAATATACTCTTATGCATAAAGTAACCCTTAAGCAATTGAATGTCTGTTTCACTTTTAGAATTCTATTTATCTACAAATATAGCTAAGGCAAAAAGACTGCATTCCTGTGTAACCATATGATTCATTTTCTAAACTAGCAAGTGTCATCACACTGTAATTAAAATGACTAACTGCCAATGTAAGTCTGCTTCCAGTTTAGCTGCTACTCAAAGAAAAATATTACTTTCTCTCATATTTGTGTACATTACTTACAACTTTTTTCTTCAGTTTTAGTCTCCCTGAAACCCCTTCTCCCTTAGCTCCTTCCAAGTGCCCCCTTGTTCTAGATTGCATGTGATTTAAACTTCCTTATGATTCGGTTCTTATCCTACGTATATCTATGGGTACCTGTACACAGCCATGACGTTTCAGTCCTCTGCAGTAGCATATACATTTGTAGATGTCATACATATATGTCAGGCAGTTAGTAGCAGTGAAGGTGGAAAAAATATGCAAGTGTGCAAGGTAAATTGATGTTAAGCCAATCAGCTATGTTTAGATATTACCTTTTGTGCAAAGATGAAAAGAAAATACCTTTTTGCTGACATAGTTGGGAGTGAGAACATGCTAATTTGCTGAAGTACATTTCTGTGGCTATGGAAGTGATAACTATGCAGCATCAGTGTGAATTATATTAAAATATGTATTTTAAGTATGGCTAGGATTTAAAATCTAGCATCAGCTAGAACTCCACATAGCTTTAGTCTAAACAAGGTTTAATTGTGTTTTATATAGCAAGCTAAATTAACAATTATAAAGAAAGAATCTGAATAGGATAATTGGTCTGTATGCCTTGCTAGGAAGCTCTATGAAATGAGTTTTGTTTTTATTAGGGCAATGAAACATGATTTAAAGAGGGAGACTTGTCATGAAAAGCTCTCTTGTAAGTAAACAATTGATTGCTACCAATGCAATAAATCCCTTTCAATATGTAAATCAGTAGAAATGAATGATAAATGCTGATTATATAATTCCTTCACATCTCCTTTGTTGAAAATGTATTTTACTGTTAATTTATTTCTAGGCGTAATCACTAAGGCTATTGTTATTATATATGTATAAATATATATATATTGATTATATATATATATAAATATATATAAAATAAAGCAATCTTTATTTCCTTGAAATGGAGTTAGGGAGATGAGAAAAGCAGAGTAAATGAGACAAATAGACCTACTGTTATGTTGGTTCAGGGTTTAGCTGCCAATTTTGGCAAGCTCCCCACTATGGTTCTGCAACTATTAACTGCTTCTGTGCTCACTTGTAGGAATAATTGTTTTTCCGCTGGTTGGAATCACTGTACATTTCACTGCATACTACTTTCACTTACAGCAGGGAGCCAGTAACTTGGACATAGCACATCATAACTCTGATATTCTCAAGGAAATTTTAAAACATCCGTTTCTCTCTGAGGGCCAAACCTCCCCAGCCTAATGTCAGTTTTCCCAGATCCAATGACATAGAAAGATCTTTTCCAAGCAAATTCTCTACCATGAGCACACATATCTCCATCCTGTATTTCACCTCATAGAGCAACCTGCAACATTTTTCACACTTATGGAATGTGACTGATTTTACAAGCTGTGTTGCAGTCAATGAATGCCTGACTACATACCCAAAGTCTAAGGTTATACATGGCATCCCTGCTTACACCCTGGGAACTACACTCACAACTCTTTCATCCAAAAGAATGTAGCATCCAAGTATGAAGTCCATGAGTAAATGTTGCTGTATTCACTAATCAAACAGGAACAGCAGGAAGATCCCCTCATTTGAATTGCACGTACTCCAGAGGGATGCTGTTCTGGGTACCAGATGGGCCTGGGCAGTTACAAAGTGGTGGTTGCACCACTTTGGTACAGGCAATGAAATCCATATGCGTATATTTTCAGCATGGAATAGCTGTAAATTCAGCAGTAAATTTAATCACAAAGATCCTGAAACGTGAAAGCAGACATGCCTGCTCAGTGCCTCCCTTTGCAACTGGTAATGTTGGAGGTTAATTAGCATTCAGGCCACTGCAGGCTAGGCTAGTACTGACAGATAAGTAAAAGCTTCTGTGATGAGTATGATGACCTTTAAGGACATGAGATTTATTTATTTTTTTTTTCGGCAGGAGGAGTATTTATAACTAATTTACTTTAAAAGCTTATTACCTTATAGAGCTAGGAGAAGGCATCCACAAATCAGACACACTGATTTTTACAAATTTTCCTTTCCTTTTTCTGCTTCAGAAGTGATGTTCAGTGAAAGTAAAGTGAACTGACAATGAACGAGAGCTTTTTGCCTTCAGCAAACCAGGCTTCACCTGCAGAGCACACATGCTTCCCAACTCACTGCAACAAGCTCAGGTCCTAACCCTTGCTCAGAAGGGTCGCCTGATGGATAGGAATACCACAATCCCCTTGCCAATTAAAGGATATACTGTGAAACCTCTGTTTGATGCTATGGCCATTTACTCAGCTTTAGTGGGACTTAATCGAAATCCTGCATTCCTGAACTACTGTTAAACCTGTCAGTTTAATGTAAGCTGTAATGGTGTTTTTTGGTAACACAGAGGATTGTCTTCACTCACATTAAACTCAAACATGAGAATTTTGCCATTCCTTTATTTGGGGTTGAATTAATTTTATGGTTTTAACTTAGTTCTTAGTAACTTGAACTGTATACAAGCCCAGGAATTGAAGCTGTTTTCCTCAGTCCATCAGCTTTTGCTCATGAGAAAATTTATATTGCAATTAACACCATTTGTGGTATTAGTGGTATGGTCATGTTGGAGGTTGCATTTGACAGTGATCAGCAGATGTCTTGCTTGAGATAATGACGTACCTCTAACGTTTCATGTTGATTTGTAGAGATTAAAATGTATTATTGCTCACTCAATATTAGAGAGAAAATTGTTTCTACGTTATTAAGTTGTAGGTTGATAAATACATTTAAAAATCATTAGCTGATTTTAAGTACAGTACAGGCACTGCTTAATGAGGTGATAATGGAGGCCAAGATTCAGCCCCCGTGCTTTATAGGCTGCGGGTTGCATTCTTTCCCAGTGTCCCACAGTTTGAGTTCTCGCAATGGGAAATATATAATTAAGGTGAAATCAGCACACGCTATATGTTAAAAAGAAACTATTTACATTACAGGTTGAAATGGATTTGGTTTCTTTCCAGAGAGCAGGAGGGATACATTTATATAAGCCTAGTAGAACTACATTAAAAGCATGCAGGCCTGAAGAGCCCATGAAGGACATAATTGTATAATTCATGCCCAACACATGATATGCAATGTGCTCCTAAGTGTTCTTTTCTGGTTTGTGGATAGGTTAAAGAGCAAAGGTAACAGTATGAAAGTGGTGTCTCCACAATTTTGTACCAGGAATAGAATATGGTAAATGGGCTCTGTGCAGACATCTGCAGATATTGAGAAATTTTACCTGTTTGTTTTACCTGTTTATAGTGCTCTTAAGTGACTTGAGGCATTTTGGCATTGTCCAAGTTCAGTTTGTGTTTCTATGCACTGGACACTGTTTTTTCCTGGAAAGGGTGTGATTAAGTAGCATTTCCAGTCCTAACATCTCCACCTTGCTTGCTGTGAGCAGTGCTTGCTACTTGAATTAGTGAAGTTGCAACAGGCAGAAGGATCAGACTGAACTAAGAAAACAAGAATCTGGGCTTTGAAATTTTGTTCTCAAGATAAAACATTTCAAAAAGCTAGAAGAAGAAGAGACTGAAGAGACAGATAAAATTTTGCAGAAGTGATACTTTCTGTGTTCATATACAGATTTTAATATATAGGATGTGTTACATGAAACCATCTATAAGAATTATGGTTTGTTAGGCCTGGCTAATGGTCTTCGAGGACTGCTGAGGTCTGCTGCAAAGGAAAAATATTTCATTGCTATTTGCAGGAGCTGGATTTTCAATGTGCCTACTTTAACTTTTTGATAATAGTCATTTTTACTCCATTATACTTAAACTAGATTAATATATGTCTGCAAATTTTATTGGTTGTAATTTAGTTTATCTAGTCAGAGATTTACTTGCAAAAAGAAATTTGATTTCAGAGACTAGTTTGGAAATTATTGTAGCAATGTCTTGCTCTTCATCTCTGGTCTTATAACTATAACTATACATCTTCAGGATTTTTTACTGTGTCAGTAGGTGGCAGCAAAATTTATCCAGGGACTAATGAAAAATGTGAATAATAAAAATTTAGAAAAATTTTAGACAAGTATTTGTGGATACTGACGTAGGTAAACACATTAAATGTACATATAATATTTTTAGTTAGTCATCACCTGTCCACAAAAAACATTGTTAATTAATAACCACCCACATAACTGATAACTGAATCATGGCTGATTCAGTTTTATGTGTAGACTTTTTCTATTTTAATAGTCTTCATGGCAATAGAATTTTGGCTTGAAATGATTATGAAAGACTAGCTTTCCTACCAAGACATGTTAAAATGTGAGTAAGATATTCATTCATACTATATATAAATCAACGTGAATCTATCAAAATAAGGACCTGGCTTATTGGTGCTTACCTATAGTCCAGGGAAGTCTGTATTAAAAAAATATGTTATGTGTGTGTATATATTT